TCACTATTATCACTATTCTAATGCCAGAACATTTTCATCATCCCAAAAGAAACCTCATATCCATTAATAGACACTCCCTGTTACCCACTCCCGCCAGCCTGGCATCCACTAGTCTACTTTTTGTCTTTATGCATTCATATGAATGGATCATATGTGTGGTCTTTTGTGGCTGGCTTTTTTCACTCGGCGTAATGTTTTCAAGATTTATCCGTGTTGTAGCATTTCATGGCTGACTACTGTCCCATTGGATGTACAGACTGCATTTTTATTCTTCAGTTCATCAGTTGATCTACATCTGGGTAGTTTCTACTTGTTGGCTATTATGAATAATGATACTATAAACTTTTGTGTAAGTTTTTGTGTGAACTTATATTTCCTTTCTCTTGGGTATATATCTAGGAGTGGAATTGCTGGGTCATGTAGTAACTTTAACTTTTTGAAGAGCTTCCAAAGCAGCTTCACAATTTTTCGACTTCACCAGCAATATGAGGGTTCAGTTTCTCCACATCTTTACGAACGCTTGTTGTTTCTCTTTATTATAGCCATCCTGATGAGTGCAAAATGGCATGCACCATGCTTTTTGGTACATCTGAATTATTTTGTAATCATTTTTAAACTTAGTAGTTAATAACGAAAGACCACTATGATGGTTGGTGGGGAGGATGGACTAATAGGGGTTGAAATAGAAGACCTAAAGGAGTGTGCTGCAGATGTCCCTCAGACAGAGGTGCAGGCCTGTCTTAGAGGGCTGTGACATGGGCATGAAGAAGGTGGGACTGGGGCCCTTCCTAGAGGCCAGCGCAAATCCCAGAGTGGAATCAATCCGTTCAGAGTGTCTTCCCAAAGTAGCTACAAAATGAGGCAAGTTTTTTGGAGACCTCCAAATCCTCTCCCACACACGAGCTAAAATGCCCCTGAGAAGCAGTCAAAAAGTGATGTTGGAGGTACTTCCTCATTCTTTTCAGTCTGTAGTACTCTGCTGGTTCCATCATGAAGTCCTTATGTTCTTTGCTTTTCCTCCACTTTGGCATTGAGTTCATCCTAAGGCAGTTTAAAATCTTGGCTCAAAGCATCTCACTACAAGAAGCCATTTCTGACACCCCAGATTAGATTTTTTCTACATTAATGATCTCACACACCATGTACCTTCCCTTAGTAGTATCTATTAGGACAAAAGTTACTTTTGTATATTTGTCCCCTTTACCAGACAGTAAGTTTCATGAGAGAGGGAAACAGCTTTTTTACTTCCCATTGGATCCCTAGCATCTAGGAAGTATCGGACACATAGTAAGAGCTTCATATTCATTTATAAAAGAGATTCTATGGTGTCCCTGTGTACCCGGGTACCTGGTACACAGTAGATGAAGGTTTGCTAAATGAACCACAATAGGAAGGATGTTTGACCACTGACTTGTGAGTATACAATGAAGTAGAGCTATCACGTGATTGTCTGTGATTAGGCATTCATACATCACTGATAACAAGATCCCAAATTCTCCCCTCATCAACCTTTCCTTACCACTAAGACTGAAAAAAGCAAGTTATATTTTTCCTCTTTGGTTTTCTCTCTGGTGGAATAAAGAGTGACCTGCTCTGGCTAGGAGAATCCACGTAGAGCTAGAATTATCCATTAGTGAGATTTGGCTTCCAATGCCAGACCATGGCATTTTCACTTGGATAGTTAAATGTTTAGAAACTTGTTTTTGCCAAATGGGGAGGTTCACATTCTTTTTCCTTTTCCTTTAATAGCAATCTCTTTGAAAACATATCAGTGGTCAGAGGGTGTATTAAAATACACATATACACAGGTTGTACGAATATATAGGCTTATTAGGGCAGAATGATATGGAACAGTATAAACAGAAAAAGCAAAAATCTTACAAATGAATCATTTTTAAGTATGTTAACCCACAGAATCTTTTAGTAAACTTGTAATTCCAGATAAGCACCATGGCAAGCTTACTGACTGCCATTTGCTGTTTTGGGAATGGGAGAAGAGCCAAATCAAATACAATAGAAATGAATTGTTACAATATGGTAATTTTTTATTTTAAACATAAAAGTAAAGACCTACAGTAGACAGCAAAATGTCAACTTCTTAGCTTTAATAATATATTATAGGTGTGTAAGACACTACCAATGGAGGAATTTGGTGAAGGGCACACAGCACCTCTCTGTACTATTTTTGCAATTTTTTGTGAGTCTATAATTATTTCCCAAATAAAAAGTAATAAAAAAATTAAAAAAATTAAAAAAGAACAGAGCAAGAAAAAAACTGTTATCTAGATAAGGAATTTTTAGAAAGAGAACTTAAATCTACATAGTTGAAGATTGTTCCTTTGCCAGGTTTCCATAGGTTTGTAAAGAAGTTAACCAAAAATTTAAAAAATGCTTCCAAAATACACACACATTCACGCACACTTTAGTAATAAAAACATCAGGCTCTGAAAAGTGGCATCCTATTTTTAATGTATGAACTAATGGCATTTTCCAGAGATGTGTACACAGTGAAGCACAGTATTACGTTTGCAAAAGACAACTTAATTTTGTGAAAACCACAAAAATGTGTTTGCTCTTGAGAAAGGAAAATTTTTATTTCTTGACATCATCAAGGAAAAATGTGGAAGATCTGATATGAAAGGAACAAAAATGCACAAATCCTACCACCTCATTCCTCAAAACTGTATAAACACTTGCAAAATTTTTCTTCATCTATTAATATGTCCCTAGAGCATCCAGCCCACACAGACCTGGGGGCATACACATGTCAGAATATTCCATAAAGATCTGGGAACACATATTTTTGGCAGAAAGAAACCACTTAATGTGCGGGGAAAGACTGCTTGTGAAATAATTCAGTGATCCAGTTAGTCAGGACCCTCTTGCAATGCCAGAATGTTAGTGCCTTACTTTATATAACATTTTTGGGAGCATTCAAAAGACACATGACATTATGAACTCTTAAAACAAGTGAATTGTTTTGGTCCCAAGTGGATGGCAAATATCCTAGAGAGGAATAAGTAAAAATAAAGAGAATTTCCAAAATTGCCCCATACCACTCTACCTTAAAGTATATTTTTGTAACAAAATTCTAAAGGCAACATAGAAATTGGCTTGGCTGGACACTTAACTTATATTTTCCTCTTAAATATTAAAGTATAGCAACATTTTTCAAAGGGGAATTAGGACTAGAAAGACCTGAGTTCAAATTCTCTCTCAGCTACTAGTTTTGTTACCTTAGGCAAGTCACAATCTCCCTGAATCTTGATGTCTTTGTTACTAAAATGGGTATAATCCCCCTATCTCAAGGTTAACACTAGTACTGAAAGGGGCACTATGGTAGTCCCTCCTTATCCATGGGGGATACATTACAAGACCCCCAGAAGGCGCCTGAAACAGTGGATCATACTGAACCCTACATATACCACCTTTTGTCTTACTCATACGTACCTATGATAAAGTTTAATTTATAAATGAGACACAATGAGATTAAAAACAGTAACTTAGAACAATGACATTATAATAAGTTATGAAAGTGTGGTTCCTCCCTCAAAATATTTTACCTTACTGAAGTCACCTTTCTATTGTGATGATGTAGGATGATAAAATGCCCAGGCGATGGGAGGACGTGAGAATGACACGGGCATGGTGACACAAACGTAGGCTACTACTCATCTGACTCGAGGTAAGAGGGAGGGTCATCCACTTCCCGACTGTGGCTGACAAGGGATAACTGAAACCTCAGAAAGCCAAACCAGGATAAGAGGGGACTCCTGCATATTTGAGTGCACAGCACAATGCTGTGCAAATAGTACATACTCAGTATGAGCTCCCACCGTTTTCCCAGAAGACACAGTATTTTTCTGTTATTTTGGTGTAAGCCAAAACAAGTAGCTAAAGAGTGAAATAAAAAAGGGCAAGAGAATCTAATCCTGATATTATCCAAACCATCTTTCCATTAATCATGGTTATATAAGCTAATATTTAATAAGCATTATTGGGGCTTATCGGCATTATTCAGGTAATGCATCATTACCTGAATAGATCCTCTCTGCAGATAGGCTTTTCCTTTTGTCTTTTACTGATTTAGCAGAATATGTCATTAATCCTTTTATTCAGATCCTAACACAGTGTGATCTTTTGTGAAGATTCAGCTCCTCTTGGTCCCACGTCAAAATCATAGCAAAATGTTCATTCATGGGTCTGAGAAAAATAGTAAGATGGAAAGAGAAACAGTGAAAGGTTAAAGATTGTCTTTCAAAGCGGTTGGTATGATCCTCACTGAAGTCTCGCTAACGAGACCGGAGGTCTCTTAACACCCGTCTGGACCCTCCGTGGGCCCGGTCCGGCCCCCACCAACTCTGACGGGTGGGCCTGCCGCAAGCTGCCGCCCGCAGGAGGCTCGAGGGCGGTTCCTGGCGGAATCCGGCCTTATTCTCCTGAATAAGCTCGGGTCCCGCATTCCCAGGTGTGAACCTGTGTCCAAGCGTCGGGTGCTGCTCCAGGAGGCGCTGCCACTCTCCCGGGGCCGGCCTGCAGGCCTCGCCGTCACTCTCCCGGTCCCCGCAGGGCCTTAGCGCGGTCGGCCGCCCCCGCCTGTAGGCCTGCGGCCGCCTGGCACCGAAGGAAAGCCCAGGGCCAGGAGCCGGCGGCCTCCGGAGACCCGGGCGGCCAGGTCCCGCGGGCCCGGGAACTCGGCCTCCCCCGCCCTGCAGTCTTCTCCGGAAGTCCTTTAAGGCCTGTACCTTGGTCCTGGAAACGTGGCTTTGTGCCTTTCGATAGCCCCCTTCACTCTGGCCCGCCCGCTTCCTGCAGTCGTAACCGAGACCCCAGCCCCGCTGCCGGGCCCGCCAGGGGGAAAGAGGGGCGATGCTGCGCCCGGGTCCCACTAGGCCCGCGCGCTGCCGGGCCCGACTGCTTCCGGGTGAGCGGGTCGCCGCCCGCCCCGCCCCGCCCCGCCCCGCCCCTCGGCCCGCCGCCCGGTTGCGGCTCCTCCCGGAGCTGTTCCCGCTGTCCCGCCGCGGCGCGCGGACCCGCCTGCCTCACTGACTGGCCGCCGGTGCCGCCCGCCCCGCACCCTCGGCCCAGAACCCCGCGCCGTCGTCTCGGCGGGCGCCCCGCTCGCGGCACCCGACACAGGTAAGGGTCCGCCTCCCGCCGGCGGTGGGGCTGGGAGCCGGCCCTCGGCCTCCGCGGCGGTGGAGCTCGCACAGCCCGACCCCGGCTCGGGGCTACCGCGTCCCAAGCGGGATCCAGCAGCTCTATTCAGCGCGGAGGGCGAGCTGGGCCGCGGAGCCATCTCCCGGGCGCGCGCCCGCCTGTGCCCCTCGCCTGTCCCACGGCGGTGTGTTCCCCGATGGGCAGCGGGACGGGCGTCGGTCTCCGGGGGCGGCGTTTCGGGGCACCTGCCCTTCCTCCTTGGCCCGCGCCGAAGGCAGGGTGTCCACCGCGGCGGCTCCGCAGCCTGTTCCTCTTGTGGGGCAGTACCAGTGCAGGCGCGGCTGAAGGACACTCCCGCGGTGTCCTCCTCCTGGGCAAGCGCTTCCAGGGGCCGCCCGACGAGCTCCACCGTGGGAGACACAGTACCGGGCTGCAGAGGCGGGCCTGGGGGCTGCTCACTGGGATTCTGGGACCCTGGGATCCTCAGCTTCACTTCACGGTGCACTTTCTTTGAGTTTACATTTAATGACTCAGCATTAATGCCTTAAACAGAAAACTGTTAAGTAGGTAATTGACTAAAGGTACACGCAGGGAGAACAGTGGTCATCAATTTTTTATGTTACCACAATGGGAGGAGAATGTGGGTGCGGTAATGGAATCTGAGAGGCGGAAAGCAGGGTATGGATGGATGGGTTCTTAGTGTTGAAGGTAACATTTTTTTCAAGATAACAGTTTGTTTTGGGGGATGAATCTGGAAAGGTGCAATTGTTGGAGAATGCAAAGTGTTGCAGATAAGAGTGAGTTGGCAGGGACTTGAGGTTTGCTGCGGTTTGAAAGTCTTGTAGAATTAACCCTGTTTAATCAACATTCATGTTCTGTTTAACAGATAGAGAGATGACCTAGTGTTCTACTCATGTAGAATAAGAATTTCGGAAAGGGTGATTCATGTAGGAAGTTAGGTCACTCACTTTGTGAATCATTGATCTGGATCTTAAAGTTGGAAGACAAGAGAACTAGAAATTTGTTACTGCATCACTCATTTTGAGGGAGTGTTGTGTTATGCTTTGTTAGGTTTCTTGCTGGGTATTTATTGTCATGAAGTATGGTAAGGAAATAGGAGAACTCTTGCTGTATGGTTGGATTTAGAATAGTATGTTAGTTCCCTAAGTGGATTGTTCTGATTTTACCCTTTTTTTTTTGCCAGATGTGGGAAGATCAATGCAAGGGTCTAGAAAGAAGTGTCAGTGAAAAGGAGAGCAACCACTATTAAGGTATGAAAAAGTTTACTGAAAGAATCTGTGGTGTACCAAATACATAGTCCTTTGAGTGAAAGGCCTCATCCATTTTGTGAATATATCCATAAAAATGTAGAATGAGGCTATACAGAGTTATTTAAATTCTGTTATAGAAGAAAGTCTGTATTGAAGTTGTGAATTATTATGGAATGAATTGATTTTGAACTAGAAATAACTATTGCTGAAATGCAATTTGATCATTTTTGGCTTTTACAATGTTGCTGAGTAAAATAACTGAATTACAAGAGTTCTTGATTCTTTTAGCCTCGTTTTCTTTTTCTTCTTTTTGGAATTCAAATACCTTGATTTTATTTATAAAGAACTTTAATCGGTTATAATGTAATAGTAAGTTTACCCCTGTTGGTTTGGCTTACCAAATTCATTTAATTCTTTGATGAAATTTTGGTATCTTATTTCCTTGGGTACCCATTCTAATATGGAGAATGTTCCCTAATGTTGCTTTTCATTTTTGTCCAGCTAATAGTGACTTAAGAGTTTCAGTTCTCAGTGAACAGAGATCCCCGTTTGGAAAATCCCTTGGGGAAACCACCAAACTGACAGTCTTGAGAGGTGGATATACAAAAGAAGCTTTCTTACGTCAGGACTTAATAAGCACCTCCATAATGAAGGAGACAAGTGATATGGAGAATATATTTGGCAAGTAGATTCTTTCTCTCTCAAAACAAAAACAAAAACATCCTTAGTAGAAATGAAAGGGAGGGAGCAGCTTCATGCAGAGCTCTTTGTGAATTGTTTACCCTGCTCCTAGAGTGAGAAGGAACAGAATTGGTGATGTATAGAAAAAATAACTCTTCCCACAGCGTGCTGGGAATGGTGATGAGGATTATTTTAGAGGAACAAAATTCTTCTCTGCTCACCATAGGAGCACTGTCCATTGCACCTACAAAAGAGAGGCCAGTTCAGAGCCTTTTCCTTTTAGGAAGTTGCTTTCTCTTTTGGAGAATCTGAATGGAGAGATGAACTTTTAACCAGGAAAATGTACTGCCTTACCCAGTTTGCAAATAAAGAATAGCTCTTATGACCATCGTTCAAAACTCAACTCTTAAAACTTCAGAAGGAAGAACTTGAGTAAGCTTGAGTAAGCTTTTTTAAACAACTTTGCCTCTCTCATGTGGTATGTCCAGAACAGCACTGTCTTCAAATATGCTAGATAAAACACCTTGGGGAATTATTTTTTGTGTGTTGTACATTGCACTTTCACTTTTAAAACTTTTTGGCCTACACTCAATTAGAACAGACCTACAAGGAACCAAGCATTGGGCTAGAAGCAGGGTTTATCATAAGCTACACTTCTTCATTTGTTCTATTGTTTCCTTATTTATTTTGATGGGGGGCAGAGAGAGGATTCTGTTTCTTTGAGAAACTCTGAGATTTGCTATGTATGTATGCTTTGGAGTTGGTTTGCTGATAGAGCCGTTGAGAAGAGTAGAAATGGTTAAGAAGAGGGAAGAGGTGGCATACATGGGGGAATGCTCACTTCCTCGGTTCAGTAGATGTTTGTGAGACTATTTAAAATAGATAAAACATTTAATAAGAAAATGTTATATGGTCACAATAAACTTCTAGCCTTTTTCATTCCCCCCACTCCCTAATCGAAGCAACCACTGTTACTGGTTTCCTGTGTGTCCCTCTCCAAATTTCCTATTAGTATTTAATCATATATGTCCTGTACCATTCATTCTTACCCTTGATATGTCTTGATATATCAAGCACATATGTCTGTCAATATTTTTAAAAAACACTGGCATCCTGCCTAGTGTAGAGGAACCATAATTTATTCATTTTCCATTATTTATTTTGCCATTCCCTATTAACAGACATTTAGGTTGTTTTTAGCTTTCTATGAACACTGTTGTAATGAACAACTTACATATAAGTCTTTGCCCTAGTCATAAGTATGCATATGGAACATATTTCTGAAAGTGTGATTGCCAGGTTGGGACTGACGTTGTGAAAATTAAAAAATTCATATCAATCCTATGTTGGGCTTTATCATATAATAGAAATTAACTTCTTTTTCAGTCTTACAGAAGCAGACAGGTGCTCTTAATTATTTTGTATTCTTTATTCTCTTCTCCATTTATAAAAAATACTGCAAATGTGTTTTATTAGGCGATTTTGAGTGACAGGTGGTTAATTTTATTTGTACTAGTAAGGGTAAAAATACTGTATCTTGAAGATGGTTCTGTTCTGGACATACCACATACTTAAATGAATACCTTTTGTAGTAAGTTGATTGTTTTAGGATTTTATGGCCAATACCAATTAAAACATTGTATATAGTTTAACTTATTGCCCTGCTGAAGTCAGCTACTATATTATTAGTCACAGAAAGAGCTCACCTTCCCTCTTCTTCCTTTACTTTCTGCATCCCAGTCTATTCATAATAAAATAAACCTCTGTGGGGTTTGAGATCCAAAAATCTTTTTGCAAACCAGAGTGCTACTGACATATTAATTTCCCACTGCAGGAGGTAGATACGGATTCAGTCTTTATTCTGCAAAGTGTGGGCAGAGTAAGGGAGGTATAAATTTTTAATTTTTGTGTTACACAGCTCACTCATGACCAGGAGGAGTTCAGGAATCTTTGCCCTTTCAGAATGAGAAAGATTAGAGGAAAAAAAGTGCTGAGGGGCCAACATCTGATGGTGAAGTTGGAACTTGTAGTGGCTGTTTCCCTTGCTGGTGCCCAGGGTCTATTTTGAGGCCTTGTCAAAGCTCGCCTGACAGAGCCTGCCACATAAATGTAATCTGTCCTGGCCCCGCTGCAAGTCAGGAAGGCCTGCGGTTTAGGAAAAGTGACAGCCACAAAGAGGGAACCTATGAAGGATGTTTGCCTTCAAAAGATTAAGGCTAAGTTTTGGGTTGAAAATCTGCTTAGCATGCATATCCTATGATCCAGTGTTTTGTCTTCCTTTTTGAAGGGAAGAGCATGATTAAGGAAGACTAATGAGGAAAGTATTTTAGAAAAATATGCATAAGGAGGAAAACAGGATTGTACTAGGATTGATGTGATGTTCTGCTTCTGAGAGTGTTTGCCAAGGATCAGTCAGATGTTTTACAGCAGGGAAAAACATTACTGCTCCTGGCATTGACAGCATGTGTTGGGGGGCATGCTCCTAGTTGAAATAGTCCAATTCAGAGACCTTCACACTTGCCATTGGGACCAACAGGATACTGGGAACAATGGACTGTTTTACAGAATGATTTTGAATTCATGCAGAGAAATAAGCAACTTCCTAAATTCTTTCTCTTCCCGTAGAACTGTTATGGTATCATGTGCAACATCATGAAGTTTTCTCTAAATTCTTGGTTATCACCCATGCTATCTCCCAGTGTAGCTACCTCCCCTACCATGTACTTTCTCATGAAAACCTTGGTGTTTTCTATTCTTAGAAATAAGTTGCTGAGTTTTAAGTTCTTTAACTGATCTCACTTCTTAGGCCAGAAAGCTGTTAAAGAGCTTAGTGCCCCGCCCTTTTACCCAAGGTCCATGTCACCATAGTTATCTGTGGCCTTGTGTGACAGCCAAGGTTGTTGAAATAATTTGGCATACAGACTTAATTTACAAATGCAAAGCCTGCATGTGGTTTCCTGTCTTTTGCTTTAGATTGTGACTCCAGGAAATGTAGTTTTGTCCTAAAAAATTTGGATTGTTAGCATTTGATGATGTTGAGGTATTTAGTATTCAGCGTGAGAGAAAAAATAAACCGGAGTACTTTACTTTCTTTTCATATTACCTGGTTTGTTCCTATTATCTGTTATATCCCATCTTTTTGTCAGCCTTCCCCTCACAATGCCGTCCCCTAACCCCCCAAAAAAGTGAGGTCAGAGAAGAGAGAGTGGAAAAGAGGTTGGGTAAAATCCTTGGAGAGCAAGTGCATGTCAAGGTGTTTTTATTTTCTCAGAAGTGGGATATCAAAGTCCTTCTTAAGGAATCATACGTCATCTTTTTCCATTGTTTTCACTTTGAACCTGTATATCATAACTTTCCTTCACTATGAACACCACAATTTTAACCAGTTTTGATATATCATGTGGTTACTGATTTAGGAAACACATCTAATTTTTAAGTTACTTGGTGTGATCACTTTGTTATTCTTTCTATATCACCCACTTCTCTAAGTAGAAACATTTTAACAGCTAGGAGCAATTAGTATCTCTCTGTATTCTAAGTTAAATAGGCTATGCTGTATGCAGAGGGTTAGGATATTAAAATATTTCCCTGTTAAATGGTTTAAAGTATTCGTAACAACAAACAAAACAATTAGTAAGCATACATGGTGTTGTTATTAACAAGTGCTACAGTTAAGTGACCTAAGGATTATAGGACTAAAGATAAAAAAAAATAGGTTTTAGATTAGATGATTTTCCCCTGTCCTGGATATTACTATATTTAAGTTGGTAGTCAAGGATATGAGAGGATCACTGTCCTCCAGTCTTACAAACTCATACTTTGCTAGTCATCCAGTTTTTTTTTAGTTGTATATAACATAAAATTTATCATTTTTAACACTACAATTCTAGTGGCCTGAAGTACATTTACAATATTGTACAATCATCACCACCATCCATCCATCTCCATAACTTTGTTATCATCCCAACTGAAACTGTGCCCCTTAAATAATAATTCCTCATTCCCTGCAGCCCCTGGTAACCACTATTTTACTTTTTGTCTCTATGAGTTTGACTACTGTAGGTGTCTCATGTATAAGTGGAATCATATACTATTTCTTCTTTATGTCTGGCTTATTTCACTTAGCACAATATGTCCTTAAGTTTTACTTATGTTGTAGTGTGTATGAAAATTTCATTCATTTTTAATGCTGAATAATATTCCATTGTATGTATAGATGATATTTTGTTTATCCATTTCTTCTGTTGATGGACACTTGATTTGTGTCCATGTTTTGGCTACTGTGAATAATGCTGCTATGAACACTAGTGTATAAATATTTGTTTGAGTTTCTATTTAATTTCTTTTGGGTATATATTCATAAGTGGAATTGTTGGATCATATAGTAATTGTTATGTTTTGCTTTTTGAGGAGTTGCCATACCACTTCCCATAGCATCTGTACCATTTTACAGTCCTACCAGCAGTGTACTAGGGTTCCAGTTTCTCTACATCTTTGACACGCTGGTTATTTTCTAGTTTTTTTTTTTTTAAGTAGTAGCCATTCTAATGGGTATGAAGTGGTATCTCACTGCATTGCATTTCCCTGCTGATTAGTGATATTGAGCATCTTTTCATGTGCTTATTGGTTATTTGTGTATCTTTGGTGAAGTACATTCAAGCTCTTTGTGCATTTTTAAATTGTTGTGTTTTTTTTTTGAGTTTTAGGGGTTCTCTATGTATTCTGGCTATTAATCCCTTATCAAGTATATGATTTGCAAATATTTTCTTCCATTCTTTTGGTTGCATTTTTACTGTTGCTAGTGTCCTTTGATATACAAAAGTTTTAAGTTTTGATGAAATCCAATTTACGTACCTTTTCTTTTGTTGCTTGGGCTTTTGGTGTCATATCCAAGAATCATCACCAAGTCCAATGTCATGAAGCTTTTTATGTATGTTTTCTTCTAAGAGTTTTACAGTGTATAGTGTAAGAGTTTACAGTTTATAGCTCTTACATTTATT